GCACGTGATCTCACTACATCCCAACAACCCTCCTGGGAGATGCTAGCATGACCCCACTCTACAGATGAGGAGGCTGAGACTTACAGAGGCAAAGATCCCTGTGTAGCTAGGACTGGCACCCTGGAGCTTGACTCTAGAGCCCGCATGCTGAACCAGTCCACCACCCAGGCTATCACAAGGAACAAAAGCTACATGAGTCCCTTGGGCAGAGTTCACTCTTTGGCAAGGACATTGGGCAAGAACTATAGCCCCAGATTTCTGTGATGCAGAGTTCACCTGTGGGGTTGGTCGTTGGGTGGACAGCCCCATGCTCTTTCCCAGATCATCCTGGCTATTCCTGCCCCAAGGCCAACGGCTCTGGCCCACCTTGACTGAGCCTGGTGCCAACTGGCTCTGGCTGCATGAAGACTCCGGAAAGGGAGCCAGAATGTCACATGTTGGCCCCCTACCAGGGGGCAGCCGCCCTCTACATTGCTAGATATGGAATGAGTGAGGTAACTCCCAACGGCATATCAGGCATCAGGGTGAAGGAGGAAGAGGGGGCTCCTCTCCCCTGTTACCTTAGCATTATCCCTGCATGGCTCGTCACCTGGAAACCAGGGACCACTGGCACCAAAGTAGCCCCATGACATGAAGTGTCTCAGCTACTCCCCTCGACCCCAATCCTTTTTATACGCAGAAAAAGCACAGAGCGCAGGCCCATCTTAGGCAACTGTTGGGCCAAAAGGCAATGAGAAGGCAAAAGGTGAGTGTGTCCAGAACTCCCTCGGAAAATCCTTTGTACTGCCCCCAGCGCTCAGACACTGTGGCGTAGCGGCCGTCGAGACCACTGCCGGCTACGCAGTGCACACCGTGAGCTATTTTGAAACCACGCTGTCAAATGCCAGCTCCACTGCCCGTTTTCAAGGTTATTCCTAATTTCCAGGCTTTAAATACTCTGCTTCTACCTGCCTCCTTTATCAAGTCGACGTCTTCTGCCAATGAGTCACTCATTAGCATTTCGGCAGCAGCTCTTAGAGCCCAGAGACATCTGAGTCTTGGATAAAATCCATTCTTGCCCACAAAGGGAAAAAAGAAAAAACGATCCCAACCCTCCAGTGTCCTGCGGAGATAACGCCCCAGCGCGGAAACCCCCTCTCTCGTCCCCTGCGCAGGGTCAAAGGTCATAGGCAGTACGGCCAGGTTCCTGCGCACGTGCATGTGAGGAGAGGGCAAGAAGGGTTACAGGCTGAACTGTGTCCCCCTAAACTTCCCATGCTGAAGTTCTAACCCCAGGACCTCAGAATGTGGCTGTATTTTAAAGAGCTAATTAAGGTAAAATGAGGTCCTGTGGCTGGGCCCTCATCCAATCTGACTGGTGTCCTTGTAAGAATGGATGAGGACCCAGACACCCAGACTAAGGGACGAGCATGTGAGGACACAGTCGGAAGGCGGCTGTCTTCAGGGAAAGCAGGGAGGTCTCAGAAAAGAAAACTAACCCTAACCTTGATCTTGGACTTCCAGCTTTCAAAACTGTCAGAAAATGAACTTCAGTGGCTTAAGCCCCCACTCTGTGCTATTTGTCATGGTCGCTCCAGCTGCCATGTCCTCCACAAAGGAGGACACAGGTACAGAGCCGCCAGAAGGCCTCCGTGACAGCTGCTGGGTTGGGCAGGGGCCCAAGCTCGAGGAAGGCTCACGCTCTTAGAAAGCTGGCTTGGGTCTCAGTGGCTCATGCCCACGTAGCTGCCAGTTCTGCTTTGTGAATTCGGCCAACTCCTTGATACTGCAAGGGTTTATGTTAGCCACAGCCTGGGAGTGACGGGGGCAGCCTCCAGGGCAATTGGCCTTGAGCTATGAGATTCCAAGCACTGGTTAGGAGAAGACAAAGGGGGAGATGTCGCCCACTTCTGACCAAGGCCCTGACAGCCACACGCACGAGCCAGCTACAAGGCTCCAGAAACCCAACGAGGTTTATTTCCACCATGATTTGTTGAGGACCTATATACAATAGACATGGAGCTGAGGGATACGAAGATGCATGGAACTCGGGGCGCTGGAGGTAATCAGATGGTTAAACAAGTCATTACCACACAGTCAGCGACTTGTAACCGTGGAAGCCTCATCTAGATACCGAAGCAGAAAAGGGCAGTGAGTAATTAGCCGTGTCGGGAAGGGGAGGTTCGGTGAAGCCTTCAAAGAGATGGGATTATCAGCAGGATTCCCAAGATGGAACTGGAAACAAGCATCCTGGGAAAGACCTTCCAGACAGAGTCCCGGCAACGCAGAGAGGTTTAAGAAGGCATGGTAGTTTCGCAGAACTGGAGGCAGTATGACACTGGGGGCTAAGGCTGGCAATGAGACTGCCCGGGCAAGAAGGTGCTAGAACACGCAAGGCCTTGAACACCAGCTAAAGAGCTTGGCCTGTTTCCCATGGGGGACAGTGAGGTCCTGGGGAGCTGCATGCTGGGGAGAGTACTGGGTCCAGTTTTAGACATGCTGCTCAGACAGCAGGGTTGGGGGACGCTGAGTAGAAGGTCAATGCCAAATCCAAGCACAAAATAACACAGGTCAAACTGTCCTCAGGCCCCACCATTTTGCCAACAAGCCTTGGTGGATTATACCATTAGTTCCCAGAGGTCTGAGCAAATGACCTAGTAAGAGGGTGAGAAGGGAAACTGAGGCACCAACACACTGTGCAGAAAGCACAGTTTCTTTGGACCTTGATGGTTTTATATTTCATTGTTCTTTTTTCCTTTTTTCTTTTTTTTTTTGAGAGAGAGAGAGCATGAGAGGGGGAGGGTCAAAGGGAGAAGCAGACTCCCTGCTGACCAAGGAGCCTGATGCGGGACTTGATCCTAGGACCCCAGGATCATGACCTCAGCCCAAGGCAGTCCCTCAACCAACTGAGACACAGACGCCCCTTTCGTTGTTTTTAACAGCCAAAGAAGCTACCAACTTCACCAAGATAAGAATAGCCTCACTAGAGGCCCATCCAAGGTTGGTTTTATTGTCTACTGGGCCTAATTCCCACTCAAGCTCCATCAGTGGTTCAAAATCTGATCTTGACACAGAACTAAGTTGCTCTTCCCACTCTGATCCACAGGACAGCCAGACACCCGGACCATCAGCTCTGGTGCTGTGGAAGGACTTAAAAGAGGCACCCAGACAATGACCAGGATTCCAATTTAGAATCTTGAGCCCAACTACTTCCAGAATGACCCACACCCTTAGTATGTCAACCGCCCACCCCTGCAGTCCATTCCTTTGTTGGCCGTGGACCTGGCCACCCTCCACACTAGGGACTATCCTACTTTGAAGCTGAGACTGGGCAGGGTTGGTGGGGGGAAACCTGGGTGCCCTAGTCAGTTGAGCTTCCAACTCATAACATAAAACATAAAAAAAAAAAAGAAGCAGCAGCAGCAGCTAAGGCTAGGTCACATTCATTTACATCACTTTCTTCAACGCACCTTTACCTAGTGGTGTGGGGTTGGAGGGCAGAGGGGCATTATTGCTTACTAGCTGTGTGACCTTGGACATGTTACCCAACCTTTCTGAGGCTGCTCCTTCCTCTGTGATATGGGCAATAACAGTAATTTTATCTTGAGGTTCTGTGACAAGATTAATATGCGTAAATGTTAAGGGTTAGTGCTTGCATTTATTAAGGGCTCCTGATGGAACAAGGAGGAGGAGCAGGAGAGCAGGAGAACAAAAAAGGGAGGAGGGGGAGGGGAGTCAAACAGTCCTGGGTTCAAATGGATGCTCAGCCACGTGCTTGGCTGTGTGACCTTGGGCATGTCATTTACCTCTCTGACTCATGGTTTCCTCCTCTGTCAAATAGGGATAATACTGCCTACCCTACAAAAGGATCTTAGTTAAGATAACAGAGAGGAAAGAGCCTCATACTTAGCCTGCCAGCTCTACGGCATTTAAGACGTGAGCCTGAAATCAGAGCCACTGATTTTTCGGCCCTGAATGGTGCTTAGGGAAGAATCTGATTTCTATTCCAATCTCCCTGGACCACCCAGCTCAACCACTCTAAGTTGGGTGAACATGCTGAAGCAAGGAGAGGCCAGTTTATAGGGAACCGGCACTCCCACCCCCAGAAACACTGCTGTTCTTCAACACTTCCAAGGGAAGGCTGCAGAGTTCCCTGCGACTCAGCAGTGTTCTCTCCAGACAAAGGAGATAGAAGAGCCAGGCTCGTGGACTGGAGGACAGCAGTACCCCTCTGTGCTGGCTCAGGAGCACCGCCAGCAGATGGAACATCCATTTGGTGAGAAGATCCTAAAGCGTGAGTCCCTGACATCTTAGGACCCTCCACAAAATGAAAGTTATTTTAAGTTCTCCTGGACCCAGTGGCTCCGGGACAAGGAACAGAAAGCTTTTTAAGGTCTCTCATTCTGCCAGAAACACAATTAAAATGTAAAAAATTTAAAGCTCACCTCTCTTGGGCTCACTTTGTGCTCGGCTCTGGTTTAAGAGGAAGACAAAGCAAAACCCCAAACCCTCACATCAATGCATCACGACCAATGCCTGCCCCCACCCCCCCCCTGCCACCGGCCCTGTCCTGGGCAACGCAGGGACTGAGCTCAGTGTGGAGAAGCAGTCATCTCTGCTTTCCTGCCAACAGTTTCAGGTTGGGCAGAGGAGGCTGGTGTTGAAATCTGTTTCTTTTTTTAACATGGAATGGGGCAGGGAAGCTAGCCAAAGAGCAGATTTGCCTGAGGTCCCCACCAAGCATCCACAAAGCCAGGGTACTTCAAGTGCAAGGGAGGTAAGGCCCTGACGGAGGCAAGAGCCCTGGGAAGGGCAGCCTATGCAGTCCCTGGAAGCATCCCTAAGCTAGGGATGCAAGATTAGGACTCCATGGTCTCCCAGTAGTGTGTGTCAGAACTCAGGGGTCAGACATGGAGTCAGGCATTAGCATACACGCATCTACTACCAGACCACCAAGCCCACAACTCACCCCCTGAAACAGAGAAGCTGTGCCCCGTCCCCAGCGCACCCCACAGTCTTACTTCTGCTAGGCAGCTCTTCTTGGCCCAGGCCGTTGGAGGGAGCTAGTGGGGCACCGCCACCCTCCTCCAAGGTCAAGATGAGGGGAACGTCGTCATCTAAACTCACGGCCATGCTCTCCTCTCTGACAGCCCTCAGGATGCGATGTCCAGAGCTTTAAACAGTCTCTGCTTTGAGCTTCCTTTCAAAGCCACTGGCCCAGAGGTGCTCTTCAGAAACTCCTCCATCAGAGGCATCTTCTAGGGGTTGGGGGATAAAAAGAGAAAAACTATTATCAAAATACAACCACTATGGACGACAAAGTTCTGGAATTAGAGAGTAGGAACAGTTGCATAACCATGCAAATGTACCAAAAACTACTGAATTGTACCCTTTAAAATGGTGGATTCTTTTTGGTATGTGAATTATATCTTAATGAAGAATATTACAGTAATAGCATTAAAATATGGGAGGAGGAGAGCCTGGGTGGCTCAGTGGGTTAAAGCCTCTGCCTTTGGCTCAGGTCATGATCCCAGGGTCCTGGGATCCAGCCCCGCATCCAGCTCTCTGCTCTGCGGGGAGCCTGCTTCCCCACCCTCTCTCTGCCTGCCTCTATGCCTACTTGTGATCTCTCTCTCTCTCTCTGTCAAATAAATAAATAAATAAATTTTTAAAAAGTATGGGAGGAGACTCTGTAAAAACAAATACTGAAAATTTACATGTAATTATGTCTGGAAATTGAGATTATGGCTAATATGTTCTACCTCCATCCCTCTTTGCCCTTGTTTATGTGTTTTGTGAGGATTTTAAAGATTTTTAAAAAAATACAACCATTAAAATAATAGTAGTTCATAGTCCATGAGCACTTCCTATGTCCTGCGAGTTCTCCTCGCAATTTTTAAGTAAACCTAATTGAAACTTTGTAAGAATAAACAGGATTACTAGCCGCCATTACAGAGCAGGAGACTCTAGGCTCAGAGAGATTTAAGTAACTTGCCCAAAAACCCACAGTTAGAAAGCCCAACTTTGAACGACACAGTCTGGTTCCAGATCTGTTATCCCATCAACCACTCTACAATTTCTCCAAGACCCAGCCTTGGTATTTACACAGCACCTAACTCCACTGATTTGTAGGGTTAAGCATGCCAGATCACCTATACGTGCCCAGCTCATTCTTATATAGGTATTATTCTCCTAGGTTTTGGTGTTTTAGGAGGAAGAAGAAGAGTATTTTTTAAAATGACGTCCAGAGTCACACAGCAAAAGTGCTCATCCTGGACTCCCAAGTTTAAAGCACTCAGAACAAGCCTGTTACAGTTCCTATTTATACACATTCCCATTTCCGCTGAGTAGGACCAAATGCAAAGTAAAGACTCAGCAGATCTGACAGCAGACCTTTGAACTTGAAATGAGCAGCAGGTTCCTTCCTCAAGCTGAGGCCTTCTGGGCTCAATCAAGTCTGCCTCCAAACTCACCCACTAAATGGCAACCTGGCAATTTGCATCTTTCACACATCATCAGAGTTAAGTTCCTGTGCGTCAATATCTTCTTAAAACTAGACAGCAAAAGTGAGCCCCATTCTGTTTGCTAAGCCGGTTGCTCTCTGCCCAGCCAACTTCCTGTTAAGACTTCTTTTAAGTTTCCCCCAGGTCTGGGGATTCATTTTACTCTGCAGTCCCAATAATGGAGAGACAAAAGAGGAAATCCCAAATGAGACGCTACCATTCGGCTGTCTTAAGAACTATGTGTTTTATTTGTTTTGTTTAACTTTTTACCGCAGGTATTTTCAAACATACTCAAAAACAGAATTATGTAAAGGAACTTCCTCGTATCCAACACTCCGCTTTGACAATTAACAAGACCCGTGTTTATTTTACAGGAGAGAGAATCAATCAACCTTCTCATCTTATCGAGAAGAGGGTTCTAAATTTTTATCACTGTTATAAGGGCTAGAGGTTTTTCCTTTTACTGTTTCATTCACGACTTTTTGCTTGCAATGCATGCAGCATCTTAGCTCCGTGGACCTCAACTTGGGTGACTATTCCCCCCACCAGGGGGTACCAGCAACACACAGAGACATTTTTGATTATCATAACTAGGGGGCAGGGGTGCTCTTAGGCAGAGGGCAGGGATGCCCCTGAACATCCATCCTACAAGGCACAGGCGAGACCTACCACAATACTGAAATATGTGGCTCAAATGTCAACAGTGCTACTGTTGAGAAATACTATTTAGCTAATATCCCCACTTCACAGATGAGGAAAACTGGGGCTTAGAGGGGTTAACTTAATCTGCCTTTTACAAGCAGAAAACTAGGAGAGCCCAGATTTCACCAGGGCAGTCTGAACTCAGTCTGAATGCCCACTTAACCATTTTCCTCTACCTCCTGGCAGAACCAGGCCCCCAGTTTGAAGTCAAGCCCATCATTTTGCTGAGAAGGAAAGAGTGAGGCCCAGAGGGAAGAAGGGACTTGCCCAAGGTCACCCAGTGCAGGACTCCTGAGTCCTAGCCCAGGGCTCCTTCGCCGGACTTTTCTTCTCCCTCTATGGAGGATCCAGAAGGGACGGGTCACCCGCGGGGACAGGTCCCAGGAAAGCGGGCCAGCAGCCATGCCTGACCCGGGCACGAGTCTCTGTGGGTGGGGCGCCTCAGGGCGCGGGGGAGCTGAGCAGATGGCGGGGTGGGGTGGGGGACAAGGAATGCGGACTCCAGCTCCACGTGCTCCCAGCCCTGGTCTGGCCCCCGCGTGGGGGTCGCCCCAGGAAGCCGGGAGGCAGGAGAGCGGGCACCAAGCCCCGGCCCGGGCTGGAGGGAGGAAAAGCGCCGCGATGACTTCCCCGCAGCGGGTCTGGGACCGCCCTGTCCGCCTCCCACAGCCCAGTGCACAACGCAACCCCTCACTCCGCGCCCTCTGACCCCTGACCCCTGCCCTCTCCTTCAGGCCGTCACTCGTACCCCTCGGATTCTTACACGCGCCGCCCCAGCAACCCGGACCGCGCGCCGGGGTCCGCACCGCGAAGCCCAGCCCGCGGGCGCCGCCGCCACCAAAGCCCCGAGCCTGGAGCTGTTGCAGCCACCGCAAGCGCCGCCACTTCAGCTGCTGCCACCACAGCAGCTGCGCCAGCTCTCCCATCCACCGCCTACCGTCCCTTCAACCCTGCCGGCCCCGCCCCATTTCTCCTTTGCCGCGACCTATTGGCTACCTAGGCTGCATGATGAGCCTTGATTGGCCAAGCCTCACGTCCTTCCCCAGTTCTCTCTCGAGGCTGACGCCGGACTCCCTGCCCACCTCCTTGGGAAGGGGCGGGACAAATAAGCTCTGCCCCTTTCCCCGCCTACCCTCCCCGCCTTACTTGTTCAGCCCAACCCAGAGAGAGCCCCGGGTCTTTCAATTGGTGGAGGGTCAGAGAGGCGGTGCTTCTGATTGGTCAGGCCTCAGGAGGTGGGGCGAACTGAGCGGAACAAGAAATTGAATGGTGAAAAGGAAAGTCAGTCAGGTGCCGAGTCCCTCCTTCAGTGATTGGCGGGTAACCTAGCAACGCAGGCACAGCGGAGAGAACTACGCTGAGAAACCTGGGACCCTCGGAACAGGTGAGTTGACCAGGTGGGGAAGGGCGGGGAATGAGCGGGAGATATGGAATGGCGTCCAGCCCGCTATCCTTTGGCTGCTGGAGGAATCAGCAGCCCTCACCTCGATCCCGTCCCTGCTTCAGAACAGTGCTCTCCAGCCCCTGCCTCAGTCCAGACCTCCCTCTCCACAGCCTGCCGGGACTCCTGGACACCTTCTCTGTCCCTGCCTCTATTCTGCCCCTCTGCTTACCACTTCGCATCCCCGCTTCTTCGTCCTTAAAGCGTGGATGAAACTAGTCAAGTGGAGTCACATCCTGGTTGGGTGACTTCAAATCAATCATAGGTGATGGGGATATAAGTTCCCTTCCATTCCACCGAACGGCCATTCATTCCAAAGTGGGCATGCAACAAAAGGCATCTTGCTCGAATGAGTGTTCAGATTAGGTCATTTTGATCATACCAATTATTGCCTTTTGTGCTAGCAACTTTAGAACCTAACTCCCATTCTTGGCCTTAAAATGTGATTTCATTGTACATTCAAAAGTTTTGTTGTAAGGATGAAATGGGGTGACGGAAAGCTTGGCATGGGAGCTGAGCTCAGTAAATACTAGCAATGTTTTGGGGTTTTTTTTGTTTTTTTTTTTTCTTCCTAAAGCACATTTGTCCTTGACTCTTCCTGCTTAAAATGGATCGGGGAAGTCTTCTCATTCCAAACCTTAAATATTCATATATTCAACAAGTGTTCGCTGAGTGGCTACTACCAGGTGCTGGGGTAAAGCGATCAACAACAACAACAACAAAACCCTCATTTTCCCATTCAGGGAGCTTGTCTAATGTGGGAGATAATCATTAATCTAGTAAAATACAGATACATGTATAGTTATACCTGCGGAGATTCATTTCCAGAATGATGCAGCAGGAAGGTCAACAAATCCTTTCCCAAAAAGCAACTCGAGTCCATCAGTAGATAAATGGATAAACAAAATGTGGTCTACACACAACGGAATTAGATTCAGCCTTTAAAAGGAATGAAATTCTGATAAGTGCTACAAGAATGGACCACAAAGACGTAATGCTAGCTGAATGTGAGTCAATCACAAAAGGGCAAATAGGCAGGATTCCACTTAACATAAGATATCTAGAATAGCCAAATTCATGAGGACAGAAAGTAGAATAGTGAAACGAAATGACAATATGCATTATAATATGAATGAACATCAGGAATACTAGGCTGGTGGCGCCTGGGTGGCTCAGTGGGTTAAAGCCTCTGCCTTTGGCTCAGGTCATGATCCCAGGGTCCTGGGATCGAGCCCCTCATCGGGCTCTATGCTCAGCAGGGAGCCTGCTTCCTCCTCTCTCTCTGCCTCTCTGCCTAGTTGTGATCTCTCTCCCTGTCAAATAAATAAATAAAATCTTTAAAAAAAAAAAAGAAAGGAAGAAAGAAAGAAAGAAAGAAAGAAAGAAGAAAGAAAGAAAGAAAAAAAAGAAATACTAGGCTAAATCAGGGTTTCTCAACCCTGGCACCTTTTGGGTTGGATAATTCTTTGTTGTGGGGGGGGGGTGCTGTTCAGAGCAGAATGTTTACCATTACCCCAGCCTCTACCCACTACCTACCAGTAACACCCCCTCCCCGTTGTGACAACCAAATACATCTCCAAATTATTGTCAAATGTCTCTTGTGGCCAGA